AGAGAAAAACATCGGTGAAAAAATGTCAACATTATGAGTTTGTTATTCTTATACAAGACAAATACCAAACATGGAATATAGTTGGAGATTAAAAACTAGGTTGCCACAACTTGTGGCGGAGCCGGCTGTGAGATGTGTGAGTGTAGATGTAGTTTTGCTTCTCATTCTCATTAGAACACGCAGAAGCACATCCACATCTCAAAATTAGGTTTAACTTGTTTGGAATGTTTTGTCCGTAGTTTGACACACCCTCTTTATATTATTTTTATTACAACTTGAACAAAATAAAAATCAAGTTGAGTACTTATCATTGAGCAATTTTATTATATGTCTAAAAGAAATAAAATATACTCATTTATTTGATTAACACATAATCAACAATAAATCAGCGATTTCTCGGAGTACAGAGATATGTTACTGTGAATATATCTATAGTTTCATCGATAATCAATATATCCTTGGGTATATTAATAACATTTTGACAAGGAATTTTTAAGTATTCTTGTAAGTCTTTCTGCAATTCTTCAAAATATCAATAGAAAAAGTCGTATTATATTCTACAAAGTTAATTCAACTAATTAATTATATTCGATTTAAAACTTGAATTATTTATCATACTAATAATTTTTTTGTGTTTTATATAAAATAATGTATGTAAAAAATTCCTTTTTAAATAATTACTTTCATCATTTAACATTAGTCTGTTTTAATGGTTAATTTTCTTCTTGTATTTTAGCAAAATAAACAAATACATCATCAAGTATTACTTGTATAATTGTATAATCCTCAATTATATTTTCTAATTCTTCTCGTGTTTTTGCTGAAACACTAAACATTTTATACAATGGAACAGTTGTTGATACACGAAAATTTATCCTTTTATTATGTTCTTCTTTAACATCAGTTACTGGTATTCGTTGTTTTATATAATTAATAAACATTTCTGTATCACTTTAATATCTGATCGAACAAGTATACTATAAACATGACCAAATCTTTAAACAGAATAAAAGAAAGAAGTTTCTGGGAAAAAAAAATAAAACAATAAATCAAATTGTTACTTTATTTTTAGATGTTGTACACTACCGAGATATTTGAATTCTCCACTGACCATAAGATATCCAAAAAAAAGAATAAGGATAAAATATTCATACGATTGCATAATGTTTCACATTCTTCCCTTGAATGGGATATTATTAAAACTGATTTATGATCTTTACAAGTTAATGCGAATATATAATTCCATAAAAATCTTTTCGAATGTGCATCAATTCCAATTGTTGGTTTCTAATACTGATTATTTATTATGTTTGGAAGAAAATATTTTTCTCCAGGTCCCTTCTTCAAATCGGCAAGGTTCGTCAGAAAAACGAAATTTAAGATAAATGCATTATCGAATAATTTGAAATGTGCATCTTAAAAATCAACACGATTTTAAGGTTTCTTTTCCTTAAAAAAAAAGGATTTTCGACCTAAGAAGTTGATTCTCGCTTAAAAAAAACATTTTTTTCTGGATATTGTAGGTTTTGTTCAAAAACGATCATTTTTCGCAAAAAAAAATCGTCTTTTGACGGCTAGAGATAATCAACATACTCTACAGTTTATACTTTCCAGATCAGATGATGGTGTGGGTGTGGAATGGGGGTATAGTGTAAACCTACATCCACATCCCCACTTACCTTAAATAAACATGAACAATCAAAATAAACTTGATAAAGGACAGAAAGACCCATTGGTGCTGATGAACTTCTGAGAAGATTGTGAATTAGTAAATGGTGTTACTTCAGTCTTCATCCAAAAATTCGGTCGATCGTGTTATCTACATAGAGTTTTCGCTAAGTTTTGATCCATGTAATCAATATTATTTTCTTACATATTTCATTAATGGAAAAGTCTGATATTAACAGTATATATACTAGTCGATGTGTTTATTTGTCATATACGAGAATTTGATCTTTTAAGGCTCTTATTTATTAGAATAGTACAAAAATCTTAACATATCATAAAAAATTTTGAATTACAATTCCACTCAAAAGTCGTATGATGTATGAAAGTCTGTTTGAAGTAAATTGACTTTTAGGAAATTGTTTATAAGAAATATAACTTCGAAAAATATGATCACAAGCATTATCTCAAGGTCGATCAACTGCTCAAGAATTGAGTTACAGGTCAAACACTATTCTGAGTACGGTTAACTATCGTCTTATTGCTTAGCAGGTTTTTGCTGGACTCATCGATTACATCCAAGTTCGTTGCTGTTTTGACCTCCAATATAGGTTTGGAGATTAACAGAGCTTTTTGACATCTGTTGACTTTTCAATAAAATCTATGTCATGTGAAAAGCGATGAACTTGAGAGTGATCGGTAAGTTCAGCAAAAAACTGTCAAACAATAAGACTGAAGTTAACCATACTTAGAGAATAGTGTTTGACCTGTAACTCAATTCTTAGACAGTCGATCGACCTTGAAATAGTGCTTGTGATCATATTTTTCGAAGTTATATTTTTTACAATTTTCTGGAAATCAATTTACTTCCAACGAATTTTCACATATCGTGCGACGTTTTGAGTAGAATTGTAATTCAAAATTTTTTATGATATGTTAAGATTTTTGTATTGTTCTAATAAATAAGAGTCTTAAAAGATCAAATTCTTGTATATGACAAACAAACGCATCGACTAGTGTATATACTGATAACATCAGACTTTTCCATTAATGAAATATGTAAGAAAATAATACTGATTACGCGGATCAAAACTTAGTGAACATCTTTTATTCATAAACTTAAATATGGACTCATCTTGATGGCATGGGTGAGTGTGGGTGTGGGTCTTTCTTTCATCAATACGCCTACCCACACCCACACCCAATACACGACTGATTATATACACATTGCAGCTGTGAGTATAACAGCGACTCGACATAATAAGAGGATGTACAGAAGCTGGGAATGATACAAGTTTTGGGATGTCGAGGCAATCTATAATCTGTCACGATGGTTGGTAATGTGCAGTTTGGATAAAGTATATTTATACAGCCAATAGCAGTTGATTCCATGCCTAAATTACACACATTCATAGTAACTTGCAAATGTCCTGTATTATTGTTTAGACTGAAAAAAAAGTTTGTTTGCATTGTAGAAATGAATTGATTGACTTCTGTTGTTGTACGAGTGAGCTCAAGTGGATGAGAGAAATAGTTAGGTGTGATAAGATAAAAATAGTTTACAATCGTCATCATGTGGGATATGAACTAGTCGGATGTAAGAAGATCTCGTGTGACTAATTGTGTTTCGAAGAATCAATCAAGTGCATTGCTCACTGTTCGATTGACTATGCCACAGAATAACTGAAGAAGTTGAAATATAGGTCCACTTCGACGAATATCATTTTTGACAGGAAATACAGACTATGTTAATTGATATATTCATGATTGAGATACAAAATTGCTCGAACACACCTCATGGCAAGTAGGAGAAACTGTGATAAAATTCTTGAGCAATAACGAAAGCTGTGAACATGAACACTGCAAAGATGAGATGTGAGACTGTGTCCATCAATGGATTAGTCAACTCTTTTTTTATTGTTTGTACTTCCACCATTGTGTACAATGTAAGGATATTGAGAGACACGAAAACAAGCAGAATATAGAGACGCGTCGACCATTGTTGCTGGTAGATATCAACCGGTTTAACATAAATGGCAGATTTGAAGAGATTCAGTTGAAGTAGAGCTTGACCAAATTTTTTCCCTCGACTTAATATAGTCTCGGATACTAATACTCGTTGCTTTCGTTGAAAGATAAATTTAACAATCATCGGAATAATAACACGAAGAGCAATTGAAAGTCCACCATAAAGTCCAAGCACAGTCGTGACTATATAGAAAATATTGAAACGTTTATTGATCATATAAACACATGACTTTGGTGCACATAAATTAAAATATGATGAATAATTAATATTCTCAGTTCAATAGTCAATAAAACTTGCTTTTACAGATTGTTCAATAGTGATAGTGTTTGGATCGAACCTAGTTATTTGCTTTTCATCAAGACATGTGAAATTGGCTGAAGAATTCTTTAAGGCAAGTAAGAGTGTAATAAGTACCGTTTGATTATAGAAGATCTTGAGCATTGAAAGAAGAAGTGAATCGATAGGACGGCAACCGACATACCATCCGTCGACAATATCACTATTGTTAAAGTATTCTGTTTCAATACCAATCCGAACATTATTGTAGATGCTTGTAGGTGCATGACATGGAGGTAATCGATCGCACAAACAATGATCGTCATTCGACTGCGTAAAACTATTGGGAAAAAAATCAATTGTCCATCCTCCATTAATATATTCGAAGAGATAGAAACAGAAAAATGTATTAGTTGCCGGTAAAATTGTACTAGCAAAGAGAAGCTAATCGACAAAAACAAATGTACGATCAAATATATCGTAAGTGTCGACTTTGAATGTATCGATATAAGCTTTCATTTGAGCTGAGAGGAGCCTATGATTAAGTAATTTGCTCGTAATGAGTTTCGTATTTGAAAATGTCCGAAGATTGTCGCTGATCAATTGAGCGCTCAGTCGACATTGACTAGCAAGCAGTTGAAATTGCTGAGGGATAGATGGGCAAAAATCACGAATAGAATAGAACGGTGTTGTTGCTGGATCGAAGAGATAATCGATTCATTGCTTCATAACAAAATCACTTAAACAAATTTGATTATAGTTCGGCATGAGTTGAACAAATTGTCTGTACGGATTGGACACTTCTGTACAAGTACATTCTGCTGAATATTTTCTTGATATTCGTTTATAGAAGTCTGGCGTCGGTTGATCTATTTCATAATGATAAGTGATGACTTGTAAGGAGGTATAAATAATCAAAAAAAGCCAATAAAAGAACTAGAATGTAGAGATGAGTAGGCAGACGTTGTAGTCGTACATTGTGTTCATCATTTTCGTCAGTTCCGAAAAGATTGAGCATGAATATTCTCTTAACAAACGACATTCTTTTGCTATTCTTTGGCAAATAAACAGTGATATAGCTGTTTATTCAAAGAAATAACTGAAAGTCATTCATGTAAATCGAGCATAAATGATGTTGATGTGTAATAAAAGCAAAATCAGTTTTCCATCGTTTAACATTAAAAATGTTTTAATTGGAAAAGTAATCGAATGAAACTAAACAATTATGTAAAATAATATTTCAATCGTGAAATTCTGTAATGAAACTGCTTTTTGAAAAATATTCATTGCCTCCGTGACAAACAGAAACTACAAAATAAATAAGTATGCGTATGGGTATGCGAGATGGGTGTGGATGTTGCTATAGAGCAGATAAAGTTCCACACACCCACACCCTTCGTCGAATTGGAACACTATTAGAGCGTTCCACTAACCATGATCTTTTATGAAACAGAATTTTTAACGGTTGCTGAAAATATACAGAGAGAAGGTGAATCATTATTTGTCGACCCTCTCCTGTACACTTTATAAACATATCGAAAGAGTGTGGAGTGTGAATTTGGGTCTCGTGGAAGAGAATATGAACACCAACACTCATATCTGGATTCACATCCACACCTACACATAGAATCCTACGTGGTTTTTGCTATTCCTTTTAATTAAAATTAAATTTACACAAGAACAAAAGGCGCTAGTACATTTCGTCGCACGACACTTCGTCGCGTTCACTTCGTCGCAATCATTTCGTCGCACGGTCACTTCGTCGCATAACATTTTGTCGCGCTCTGTTCGTCGCAGAAAAAAAATTTTTTTCGTTCTGTTCGTCGCAGAAAAAAAAATTCTTTCGTTCTGTCAGTCGCAGAGAAATTTCTTTCGTTGTGCTCGTCACTATCTATTCGTCGCATCACTCTTAATTAATTTTCTTTTCAAAAATGTGAAATTGATCATTTAATTCACCTTTATTTTGTGTAT